ACTCACCAGTCATAATTGAAGATTCTCCTTTTGTATTTAAGTGAGAAGAGCAGACAATCAAACATGCTTTTCAGTCAGGAGTGATAACTCATCATATCTTTATCTGTGTGTGTGTATATATATATATATATATATATATATATATATATATATCTGTCTGTAGCTTTCTTTCTAAATCTGTTTATTGTTTTCTATTTTTGTTTTCTTCTCTCTATCTTCCCAAATTCGTTTTTTTAACTTTTTTTATTCTGTTTCTTGTTCTTTAAACAATTTTTTTTTCTCTGTCACTTTTTTTTCTTAACTGTTTTTTCCCTGGCACAACAATTTTCTTCTTCCCTCTTTTTTCCTTCTCTGTTTTTTCTGTCTTTATTAAATTATTTTCCACTCATGAAGATCATCAAAAAATAACAATTACCATTCAATAAACAAAAGACCACACCATGAATAATTTTCCTCTTTCTTTTTCATTGTTATTTCTTTTTATATGGCATTGTGGACAAATATTACAATCCCCACCCTCACCAATTTCCTTTGTCATCTACACCAACATATGTTTTTTCCTGAGATTTTTCTTAATTATCTTCAAGAGACAAAGAATAGTTAAAAAGAAAAAAAAAGGAATCATACTTGATATTTGATAATTTATTTTTGACAGAAGCTGTTTTACTAAAAGGGCATCAAACTATTTATATGTAAATGAGATATTTATTAATATGCACAAAGAGACATCCCTTATTTTGTCTATATGTATATATGTGTTTGTGTATGTATATATATATACACACACACATACACTCCTGGCCAAAATCTTAAGGCCAATGAAAATAAAGAAATATACCTTTTTGCATTATTAGACTCAACCACTTAGTTAAGTAGAGCTTCAAATATTGAATATAAGAAAAGGAAAAATAAAAATTAAAAACTTATTTAACATTTAATAGAGAAAATTTGAATACTGGGAAATTAGGCTAAATACTAGCTGGTCAAAAGTTTAAGACCATATCTAAAAGAAGTCCTGAACAGAGTAAGAAATGCCCAACAAGACATTTGAGTATTGAGTTGCAAAGCCATCATAATGAATAACTTCAAAAATTTGCTTTGGCATGGTTGATATAAGCATCTGCAGAAGACTGATTGGGATGTTATTCCAAATAATGAAGATGGCATCATGAAGATCATGCACTGTTTGGAATTCACATCTGTTTCTATAGACTTCCCTTGCTATCCACCCTCAGGCATTTTCAGTGGGGTTCAGGTCAGGCAAACACACTGAATGGTCCAAAAGAGTCACATTATTCCCCATGAAAAAGTCCTTTGTTCTGCAGGCATTATGGATTGCAGCATTGTCCTGCTGCAATCCAATATAATCAGCCGCTGTTTCACACCCTTCATAACCTGAAGCTCCATTATTTCTTGGAAGGAAATAGCATCCAAGATCATGATGGAATCTCTTCCACTCTGTTGTGTAGAAAATTACTCCAGTGAAATATTCTTATCATGCTAGTAATGTTTGGAAGCCATCTGAAACATCCAGGTTAAATTTTTTCTCATCATAGAAAAAAGCCTTTTTTCTGCTTTTTCATGTCCCATGTTTAGTGCTTCTCAGCAAAGTTTAACAGAGATGTTTTGTTTTGTGGAAAGAGGAGTGGACTTTAATGACATTTACATTTTTTAAAGCATTTCTTTCTAAGATTCTATCTTATTGTTTTTGAGCTGTATTCTGTAAGTCAAATGATCAGCAGTGGTTTCGCTGGACAACCTGTTGAATCCTTCTGCTGAATACCAAAAACCTTTCTTTGGCCAACCACTTAAAATTCTCATTCCATACCCTCAAGGTCTCTTAAGAAACTTACAACAGCAATTCTACTGCCTAATCTCACCAGTGATGGCCCATTCAACAGTTCTGCCATGTTCAAACAGTGTCAACTGTTTAACCATTGCCATGTTTTTATTTGATGTAATGCAGGAGGTACCAGTGGGAAATATTGACTGTACTAAGTCTTGAACACAAATGACTAAATTTTATGTTTTATCAAAGCTTTGTTTAAATCAAGTCTTAAATTTTTGACCAGGTAAGTTTTTATTTTTCCTTTTCTTATTTCCATTTTCCAAATATCTACTCAAATAAGTGGTTGAGTCTAATAATGCAAAAAGGTATATTTTTTCTTTTTATTCATTGGCCTTAAGATTTGTGACAGCAATGTGTGTGTATATATATATATATATATATATATATATATATATATATATATATATATATATATATATATAATTTGTCTTCCTCCACAGATATAGTCTGAGAACTTGAAGACATTGTGGGCATGGAAAAGTTACTAATATCCAAAAAGAGGCTTACACAGAGGCTTGTCTTTAAAAAGTTTTGAATTTCATGTAACTGCACAACATTTCTATTTTGTTCCTTGAAACGAGTCAGCAAGGACTAAGTACTATTTTCTGATTGTCTATTTTATTCAGTTTTTCTTCTCTACAGATATATTCTGAAAACTTTAACATGTATGAGATAACAATATATAAATTTTTATATATCCAGAATAATATTGGGGAGGGTAAAAAGTTTTCATTTAAAATTCCCAGCATCCCTTGTTTGTGCACAAGTGTAGTTACACCAACATAACAAATTTAGTCTGATGTAGGATGAAACCTGTCACACAAAAACTTTTTCCCAGTTTGTCATACATTTTCCCCCTATATATATATATATATATATACACACACACACACACACATTAATCTAATGTGTATCTGAGGAGACAAAGCCAGTAGCATTGGACACCAAGTGAAAATTGTACTTCATATAGTGATACTACTGTACTGAGATGAACTTTCTTAACACTCTTTCACAAGTAGGTTCCCATTTAATAAGGTTATTGTCTGATACAACAGTCATCCAAGTCAGCAAAATGAACTTGCTAACCATTGTCAATATCTCTCTCTATCCATCTTGAAAAAGTTTGTTTTTCTTTAATTATTTCACCCCAAATAAAGTCAATAATGCTAATAATATGTGATGTGTTACTGGGAGTGGAAGAGAATGAGGAGAAAAGACAATAAAAAAAAAAACAGGTTTCAGAATGATAAAAGATTGTGATTAATGTTGCATTTAAATTTTTGATATAAAATAGGAATTAAACTTCATCAGAAAATAATTATTTTGGTTACAGCCGCTCATTTGTATATGTTATCCATTTATAGATAATTATCACCAATAAGCAACCTAGATTATTTCAGTTTATTCCCCAACTATTGATGAAAGAGAACTCACAATGAAATGTTAGCAACCAAGACAAAGAAATGTCTCTTTTGAAATTTCAAATTAACTACTGTGTACTTTAAAAGTAATTATCTTTTTGAAAAATGGATGCTATGTAAAAAATAATATAAATAAAAAGGTAAGTTATGAACAGAATGAAATCAGTATCTGTATTTATTGAGTACATGTTTAAATCTTATTATTTTGACTTGGCATCATTACATTTATTTTGTAGATGTCTTGTATTTAAAAGAAACTTTTTCTTTATTTTTAAGGCAACCATTTGTATATAAGTGAAGAGATACTAATATGTAATTGTGAGGTAGAGGAAAAAGTAAAATGAACATAAAGAGAAAGAAGAAAAACAGTGTGAGAAAGAAAGGACAAAAAAGAAAGTTAGAGGGGGGGAGATAAAATTAAACAAAAAGAGATGAATGCACAATTAACATAGTGAGGGAGAGAAAGAGAGCAAGAACATAGAATGTCCAAAGTGTGAGAGAGAAAGAGAAGATGAATGAAGAGAAAAAAATGATAAACACGAGGGAGAAGAGGATAAGAGAAGAATAAAGAAAGAATGAAGTGATAAAGAGACAGGCACACAAAATGAAGAAAACAAAAGAGAGAAAAAACAAATAGAGAGCAGCACGCAAAAAGAAAAAGAAAAATAACAGCAAGAAAAAAAGAAAGGTGCAAACAATAAATAAAATCAGAGAGAGAGAGAGAGAAGAATGATGGGAGAGAGATGTGTAAATTGAAAAGAGAAAAAGACATATTTATAATAGTGAAGAAAGTCAAGAGTAAATTAACAGTAGTAGTAGTAGTAGTAGTAGTAGTAGTAATGGGAACTTTGTGGAATCGATTCCCAAGAAGATGTTTCTTCAATCACTACAATATTAACCTGGTTAATTGTTCTCTTCCCCTAGCCTTCTATCTTGAGTGGCTCTTGGCCTTGTAAAGGGTGAACATTATTGTAAAAAAGATGAAAAGAAGAAGAATGATAAAAAATAAGAGAAAAAAATAAAGAGAGAAATGGAAAGAATTAAAAGGGAATCGAAACAAAATAATGAGAAGGAAAGAAAAATTATGAAGAAGAAAAATATATGAAAGGAAAAAAAAAGAATGAAATAAATGGGAACATGAAGAAAAAGAATTAAAGAAATAAACAAGTGCATAAAGGAAAAGAAAGATGATCATGAATGAAAACGAAATATAAATATTTATCTGCACTTGAATACACACACACACATATATATATATATATATATATATATATGGCTCAATAAGTTGATAACCTGAATTTTGATATGAAATATTCACTGTATAATGTCTAATCTATATGAATTAATGATGATCACTGAATTAAGTTCATTGATGAAGAAAGACGTTATGAGGAAAAATATTTTTTGTATAAAATAAATGCTTTTTTTTTCCATAATTATTGATGTGCCTCAGGTAGAGGGGAATAATGGATAACTGACGTAATGAGTTTGTGAATGGATGGCAGAGCAGGACACATAGTGAAGATTCAAATGTGCCCTAGAGCTACAAGGGAACAGAAGCTGTGGAGAACCATGATTGCCAACATCCTGAAGAGGCACAGTGACATAAATAATGATAATGTATATACATGTATGTATATATATATATATATATATATATATATATGGTTATGTCATTATAAATGTGTGTGTTTGTGTATAAATTGAGCTAGGATATAAAGAGATAGATATCAAATGAAAGGTATGAAGAGAATTAGATAGATAGATGGATATGAATAGATTAAGATAGACAGGTATGAACAGAGCAAGATAGACAGATATGAACAGAGCAAGATAGATAGATATGAACAGAGCAAGATAGACAGGTATGAACAGAGCAAGATAGATAGGAACAAATAAGATAGAATTTTAAAAGAGAAAATGAGAACTAAAAAAAAAGTTAGCAAGAAAAAATATAATGGATAAAAAAGTAAAACATTGGAAAAGTGGGGAAGAAGAACAATGAAAAAAAGAAAGCAAGACAAGAAAGAAACAAATGGAAGAAAAGGGGGAAGATCTAAAAGAGGAAGAGAAAGCCAAGTGCAAATAAATGAAAGAAAGGAATAAGGAATGAAGTCTGGATTGGTTATATTGATTTTATGAACTCATTAATGGGGAAATATTTGGAAAGAAGAATATTTGAGAATCATTCTTTTGTCACTCTTACCGACTCTTCATGCCTGCAGCACTTCATCTTGATAATTTGGTAAAGATACAGTTCTTGCGTAATGGTTTCAAATGTGATGTAATATGAAAACAATAAACCCAAACTTAAAAGAGGAAAGAAACAGAAAAATATTAAAAGGAAATTGTTAGAACACTTGGAATGTGGCTTCAATCCAAAATAGTATAAATTGTTATGGTATCTTCCGTCTTTGTCCATTGAGAAAACTAAATGAATGGTTTTCATTCTTTATTGCCTTATGTTAACTCTGAATTTGGATTCTATTTCTGAAGTAGTCTTAAAATCTTTCTATCTCGATCTTTTTAAATCTGCTTTATTGGAATCTTCTGACAATAATAGCAACCGATGTATTTACAGAGTGGAAAAATAACTCGGACCAATTTATATATTCCAGAAGTTATATCTTGCATTTTTTCACTTCAATACATATTTAAAGTCTGTCCAGCATGTACTGAACCACTTTGAATATTTTAAGGAGTTATTTCACAGCTTTGATTGATATTACTTAATATCAATCTGAGGAGAGATGATTGTACATATAAGGATTAACACTTTTCCTTAAGGTCTTCCATGATGGTAGGAAGATGCTGTTGAATGAGTAATTTACAATGACTAACTAGAATGTTACTGTCTTGTGGCAGGAATTTTCACAAAAGATCACATCACTCAGGTCTGTCATCTTCATCCAAATAAAGATTTGGCTCCTTGCATCTTGTGGTTTTTCCAAATGCTAAAATTCCAGTTGAAAGGCTGTGGATGAGATTAAAGAGAATGTGACCAGGCAGTTGATGGCAGACCACAGAAAATGTTTTGCAGACTGATTTTAAAAGTTGAAGGAATAATGAGATAAGTATGTCAGAGTATTTTGAAGGGAACTAAGGCATCATTGTCAAAGATAATGTATTTTTTTTTGCTGTTCAGGCATGCTAGATATATAATGCATGTGTATACTTAGTGTCAAAAACTTTTGTGAGATTGATGAAACTAATATAGATCAAGCTGTTGTTCCCTACACTTTTGAACTTGTCAGGTAGTGAAGATCATATTGGTTGTTCCTCTATTCAGCCTAAAGTCAAATTGTGATTCAGGCAGAATGTTTGGCCCAACGTAATCTAGCAGCTGATGTAGCAGTACCCTAGAAAACACTTTTTCAACAGCTGAGAGTAGCAATATATAAAGTTGGGTCCCTTCTTATAAAGTTAACCAAGAATGGTGTCTCTTTACAGCTATGAAGTTGCACTCTTCTCCCATTTGTGAAATATTGTGTGCAAAAAAAAACAAAAAAAAAATGAGACTATATCACCTCCTTGTTCAGCAGGTATTCCATCATTCCCAGGTGTTTTTCCAAAATTCATCAGCTTAACAACAGCGATTATGTCATCATTTGTGAGTAGTTCATCGAGTTGGTGAATGATGGGAAGTTGTACAAGTTTCTCAAAAACATCAGGGTTTATTACAGACTTGCAGTTTAAGACATCACAAAAGTGTCTCTATCTAGCCTCGATTTCACAAAGGATTTTGACACTGTGCAAAGGTCAACTCTCTGGGATATTTTTCTGAAGATAGGGTTCCTAGAAAAGTTCTCTAGGCCCATTTGCTCTCTTCATGGCAATATGAAAGCATGTGTCTGAGTTCCTGGTGAACTCTTAGAATCTATTCCAATCAAATCCGAGATGAAGCAAGGTGATATTCTGGCACCTATAGTATTTGATATCTTTTTTACCATCGTGATCATTCAGGTTTTTTCACAAAGCAGTGCTGGCATATACATTCTTTATCACCACATCAGGAAGGCTTTTCAACAACCGTCAATTTTTCTGCTGTGACTAAGACATCTGTTGCTCTGATTTGCTGATGACTGTGATTGTGTTACCTACAGTGAGAGGGACTTGAATCACCTTATAGACTGTTTTTCAATCAGTTGTGATGAATTTGGACTTACAATCAATCTCAAGAAAACAGTTGTCATGCTGCAATCTGCACTAGGAAACTGCATCCTGTCATCTATATTTGTCAAGGGTAAGTGGCTAGAAGTTGTAGACATGTTTGTCTACATTGGCTATACATTATCTCGATCCAACTTGCCAAATTGATCTCTTATAGACTCTTGAAGGCATGTGATGCATTTGGTAAACTTAAGTCAAGGCTTTGATCACAGTCAGACATAAAAACAACAAAAAAAAGTCAAGCTGTATCATGCATATGTATTAACAACCATGCTATACAGCTGTGAGACATGGACAACTTACTGCAGGCATATTCAGTGCCTTGAGCACTTTCATCAGCATTGTCTGTGTAATATTCTAAAGAATTCATGGTGATCACATGTGCCTTATATAATAATAGCTTGTATTCAAGGATACCCATCTATTAGGGTGGCTAGCCAATCTCTATTGCAGACGCTCACTCAGGCACATTTGTCCTTTGTTCAACACCCACTGAAACTATGCTGAGCAGACCTTAGTTACAGTTTCTGGGAGAGAGCATGTTATCTAGCCTGATCAACAATCTGAACAAGGCCAGCACACTGAAACCCTCAGTTACAAATAATTGTGACTTCATGCTAGCACAGCTATCAATGGCCCCCAAGTGTTCCATCTAGCAAATTTCACTCACAATGCTTGGGTCAACCCATGGTATTGTTTTCAGGCACTTTCCAAAGGTGCTGCTTGCTGGGATCACCCCACTCCAGACCAATAACATCAGAAAGTTTCCTTCCTGACAAATCGACCATGGTGAGTTTTGAACCTGGGTCTCATGCTTAGAAAGTGAATGTTCTGCATGTTATATAAGAGTGCTACAATTGGCAGGACCAGTTTGTATTGAGTCCATGGTTATGAAACACCTTGATGGTCTGGTCACCTTGTCTGGCTAGAAGACATGCCTAAAAAGGGGATGTATGAGGAATTAACACAGGGAAAACAACCGCAGTGTAAACCCCTCAAAGGAGTATATAGAGAATCAGAAGAACAGACTCAAAAAGACACACATTGATATAGACACTTGGGAAGAAATTGCATCAGATTGACAAACATGGAAAAATCTCATTGTTACTAGTGTCAAGAGTTTTGAGAACAACATGATATAATATTCAAAAGAAAAACATGCTGGCAGATATATGAGAGACGTGAAACCTCTTCCAGAATCAATGTGACCACATTTGCTTTTCAAAAGCAGGTGTTCTTAGACTTACGTAGAGTAATGTCAACTACCAATATGACATACCATATCATACATGTCCAATCTGCCATAAAGTTCATCAATTAGTCAGTGGAATGACACAATATTTCCACAGCCAGCATCTGGAAAGGCAAGCTGCAGCAGGAAGACTGACATGTTGGCAATGTGGGAGGAACTGCAAGACTCTTACAGATCTTAAAAGCTATTTGAGATGTCACCAGTGATGAAGCCATGATATTTAAAATGTGTGAAAAATTAAGAAAGTTTGAGCATCATGAGTATGTGTGTGTGTATATATATATATATATAATCTTTGCCTTTATGAATATATATGTGTGTGCATATATTTATATGTAGGTGTGAATATATGTTTGTGTGTGTGTGTGTGTGTGTATATATATATATAGAGAGAGAGAGAAGAAATGCAAAATTATGTATGTAGTAATGAAAAAAATCATGTGCATAAAATATATTGTATTGATTATACAAACATGTCAATGATAAAGATTCCACTAAACATAAGCCCTCAAATGTTCAGTGTTATAATATGGATATAATACTTATTGTATACCAACTTTTGCAGTTCCCTGTTTCATATATATATATAGAACCCGAGACATTCAACTTATATATATATATATATATATATGAAAATCCATGGGTAAGTAATCCAAGTGAATCCTAATAATATAAAATATTGAAACTGATCCACAAAAGAAAGCTCAATATATTTATTATAGAGCCTAGAAATGAATGACATAAAAATGAAACTCAATTGTACCCCATTTATATGGCCATTTCGCTCAAGAGATTTCTCTCTTAGAGAAATTCCCTGGAACTTGTCAATACTGAAATGTTTGATAAAAAAAATGAATCGTAACATTTAAATTTAAAATTATAGGCGGGGGCTATTACTTATCTATTTATTTTAATTCTTCATTTATTTAATTATTAATCTTAATATTCAGTTTTTTCTTGTTTATATACTAATAATGTCTTCAATTTTTTATTAGAATATTAAATTCTAAAACTTCTTTAATCTACAACCAAAAAAAACTCTTTTTTAACTTTAAAGATTGTATTTCTTTTTGTAATATAGGTCATTATTAATCTTCAATCATTTTTAACTTCTGTCTAGATGTCTATATGTATCTGTCTTTCTATTCACCCCTCATTACTTTGGTTTTTCTCCCCCCCCTTTTTTCTATCCCCCTCTTAAATGCCTTTTCTCTTATTTGCAGTTTTTTCCTCTTTTCCTTTCTTATTTAACTTCTAGTTTTTAAAAAAAAAAAAAAAAAATGTTACAATTCATTTTTTATCAAACGTTTTAGTATTGACAAGCTCCAGGCCATATAAATGGGGGTACAACTGAGTTTCATTTTTTATGTAATTCATATATAGTGAGAGAGAGAGAGAGAGTTTGCAATATGCTTTATTTATGGATTATGTGCTCGATATCACGGATAGAGTTAATGACAGTCTTTTTTGTGCTTAAACATAATCTTCAGGCCTGAAAATTGCATTTAAGCATGAAACAGAGAGTTGCTGCTGGGTGTTAGCCTCAATATCCACTTATGCATATATTATTTCAAGTTTGCTATTCATTTGTGGCTAACTGGTTATTTTTGATGTCTGGGAAAGACTCAAATTCCTTTGATAGAAACCCCCAAAAAAGAAAGTTAGGTCGATTGCTAAGAAAATAGATGCTTCATCTCAATCCTTTTTTTTTCTTTTATAGGTTAATCGCCTGGCCCAAAATCCTTCCATATCTATTGAACAGGAGTAGAGGTTCATCCCTTGTTTCCTGTTCAGGATATGGCTTACCCATTCACTTTCTTTCTTCTACCACGGCCACAATGATTTGACTTTTAACTTTTTGGTAATCAGACTAACCAGTGGCTGTTACTTACCATTGTAACAGTAGTGGGTTTGCTGTCTATCACTTCCAACTGGTTGTTTGGAGCCCAAACACTTTAGAGAGGCTGCTCTGATCAACAATCACATAATATTGGGGTATTTGTAGTGCCATGTTGTACATGAAAAGTTGACCCTGCATGTATTTTTGGTGGGCAACCCAGAGGCCACACTATTCTCTGTTCTCAGCCACAATCTGGCTAGTTTGGATTACCATTAATGACAGTGGCGATTTGGATTACCATTAATGACAGTGGCGATTATGGTGATCTTTTTCCTCTCTGCTCAAAACAGATCTTATGGAAATCACAACAAAAAGAAATAAAACAAAACAAAAAATACCTACCCTCCTCAACATTTCTTTCTCTAATATTTGTGATATCCATTTAAGTTTCTGAAGCATAGAATCTTTCCTTTTGGAATGGTAACTAGATATCTTTGCCCTCTGTGAAACAAATTTAAATTCTTCCATTGCTACCAATGAATTCTTGGTTCTAGGCAATCTTCTCTTTTACTGAAAAGATTCCAACGTTCACATGCATGGCCTTGGTGTTGATATCTGGTATAATCTTCTGATGACCAGGGAATTGTCTTATGTGACCCCAGGTGATTCTTTCATGTGTTTCTGCCATTCATTACTGAACTCTTTCACCTATCTCTTTTCATTTAGCCCTTCCTCTCTTCCCAGGACCACAGTATATTAAACATAGTAGCTGACAGTATAGAAAAGACAATTTCTCTCCGTCCATCTGTGAACATCTTTGAATTCAGTGCCTTTAATGCTCACCATGACACATGGCTTAAAATGTTTTAAATGCACTGATGTTGCCAGTAGTAAAACATTAAATTTTTCCATTGCCCAATCCCTTACTCAAATCATAAACTTTTGTAATCATTTCCCTCACAAAACTGAGCAATAGACTTCTCTACTATTTATTTTTTACCTCCTCTCCTTGCTTTTACCTCGCTTTGCAACACTGCCTTCTTGGTAACTCAGACCGCTCTGTGAATGCTATTGATATCACCTTCCAAGCATCCATTAAACAGGATTGGGGTTATTCATAATCTTGATGATTAGGATTTTCTTTGTGACTCCCCTTGGACTGACATCTTCAACCTCCCACTTGAAAATTGCATGACTGAGGTTTTTTCTTGGGTCAAAGCAAGCATGGACACTTTCATCCCTTCTCAGAAATACCAGGTGAAAAATCAATCCTCTCCATGGTTCACACCAACATGCTTGGCTGCTATAGTTCACAGGAACCACTTTTTTCAATTATATCAGCATGACAGCTCTCATTACAATAGACACTTATTCATTTCTGCTCACAATAAATATAAGTGAGTCTTAGAAAGAGCTAAGTCCATGTTTGCTGAGAGAATAAGGCAACACGGCTTTTAACAACTTTGGCTCTCATTGTTACTGGCAGCTCTGTAATAAAGCATTAAATATGTAACCTATGCTTTGCCTGTAAATTCTATTCTTGATTCATCTGGAGTAACTTACTGCCTAACTTACCAATTGAGTATCCGTTGAGGGATATGCATATAACCATGGTTTCTGCTATCATTTCTAACCTAGATCCCTACGAAGCATGTAGACCCGATGGTATCGCTGTAATAGTCTTTAATAAGTGTGCTCCTGAACTGGCTCCCGTTCCCTCTAAACTGTATAATAAATGCCTCACTGCTTCTTGATTTCCTGCCTGCTGGGAAGTCCTCATCTGTTGTTCCACTTTTTAAGGAATCTGGTGAGTTGTCTGACCCTCTCAACTATTCGCATGTAAGCCTTCTACCTCTTTTTGGAGAAACTCCTAGAGACCCTAATCAATGCTGAATTGGTTTATCGTCTCTCATTGCAGGGCCTCTTCTCAAACAAGCAATATGGCTTTCATTTCTCCAGGTCAACTGCTGATGTACTGATGATAATTGCAGAAAGAGTCTATCATGCCCTAGATAAAAACAGTGAAGCCCGAGGTGTAGCATTGAACATCTCAAAAGCCTTTAAGAGTCTTCTCCATAAGCTGAAAAGTTACGGAATCTCTGGACACTTTTTGAACTGATCCAGTCTTTACTATCAAGATCATTTCATACTAACAAGGATGTCCCCCAAGGCTCCATCCTTGGTCCTACTCTATTTTTAATTTTGATTAATGACCTTCCCAATGACATCAGCTCTCAACTTGGTATCTATGCATATGACGCAACCATTTACTGATGCC